CACATTGAAAGCCGAACCCATTTTATGATTAGATATTCTCAAGTGCATTTTAGAGTTCAGCATTCCGACAACTGAACCACATTCACAGTTAAGACACTTTTCTCTTTTAAGTATATGTATCTTTGCAGTTTGATACAGATTCAGCACACTTATATTTTCACAAATATGATTGAAGCAGTTGAGCCCGGTGCAAACGATCGTGCACTTCACAATGACTAGCAGCCTTGTTTTTAGGCTCTAGAACCCAGAGACAGAAACTAGTTCATTCCTCGACCGTGATTGCTTGGATGTAGAAGTCGATAACTCATTTACCACCACCACAACATTCATCTTACTTATCGATTGAGCTCTGTCGATGAGTTGGCATGCCCATATTTATCATTAACTATTCAACATGCGCGCTACGTAGACTTGGTAGTTTTTAGGACCAACACTATGATAACAAGCATTTAAACTTGTGGTGCAAGGGACATGCTAACAAACATTTGCATAGCTATAATAATTAGAAGAGTTTGAGGATCCCCAATGTTGTTTGGTAAGAAATCAAAACATTCTAATCGATTGCATGATTAAATACTTATAAGGTCGACTGAATAAGTGCAATAAAAATAGGATGATGTTTGTTGATGCACAAAATTAGTGAGACTTTGGAACAACCTAAAGTGTCAAGTTTGTGACCTTCACACGGCTGCTCTGGTCACCTAGTGATGATGATGATATGTAAAGAGATAGAGATAGGGAAGCAAACAAAGATGCACGTGGTTCGCCCTAAGTTTGGCTACGTCCACGGGGTATATGAGTTCTCATTAATAGTGAAGGGTTTACACAATACATAGGTTCAAGCATAATCATCATTAGTGGGTTCTAATGATGAGTTTAAGTATAGTAATGGCACTAGGGATTAATTGTAGGAGAATGACCTTCTTTTATAGTTGATGAAAGTCTTTGGCTTACTCTAGGAGCTTTATTCTGACGTTGACACATGTCGTGGGCTGTGATTGGCCTTCTGGTTGAGGGAAAACTCTTGTACTTCAACAGGGGTGCCTCGACCGAACACATTTTCTGATTAGATATTCTCAAGTGTATTTTAGAGTTCGACATTCCAACAACTAAACCACATTCACAGTTAAGATACTTTTCTCTTTTAAGTATTTGTGTCTCTACAGTTTGATACAGATTCGGCACACTTACATTTTCATAAATATGATTGAAACAGCCGAGCTCGGTGCAAACGATCCTGCATTTCGCAATGACTAGTAGCCTTGTCTTTAGGCTCTAGAACCCAAAGACAAAAACTAGTTCCTTCCTCGATCGTGATCGCTGGGATATAGAAGTCGATAACGCATTTACCACCACCATCGCATTCATCTTACTCATCGACCGAGCTTGGTCGACAAGTTGGCATGCCCACATTTAACCGAAGGATGTAGTTAGCTCATTAGCTATTCGGCATGTGCACTATGTAGGCTTGGTACTTTTTAGGATCAACACTATGATAAAAAAAATTTTAACTTGTGGTAACACATTTGCATAGCAATAATAATTAGAAGAGTTTGAGGATCCTCAATATTATTTGGTAAGAAATCAAAACATTCCAATCGATCACATGATTATATAATTATAAGGTCGAGTGAAAATAAGTGAAATAAAAGATAGGATGATCTTTGTTGATGCACAAAATTAGTGAGATTTTGGAACAATGTGAAATGTCAAGTTTGTGACATTCACACGGTTGCTCCAGTCACCTAGTGATGATGATATGCAAAGAGATAGAGATTGGGAAGCAAACACAAGATGTACAAGGTTCACCCTATGTTTGGCTACGTCCATGGGATAGAGGAGTTCTCATTAATAGTGAAGGGTTTACACAATACATAGGTTCAAGTATAATCATCATTAGTGGGTTCTAATGATGAGTTTAAGTACAGTAATTGCACTAGGGATTAATTGTAGGAGAATGGTCTTCTTTTATAGTTGAGGAGAGTATTTGGCTTTCGTCTGCGGTTGATGTGGGACTCTAGGAGCTTTATTCTAACGTTGACACAGTTGTGGGCTATGATTGGCCTTTTGGTTGAGGGGGAAACTCTTGTGCTTAGACAGGGGTGCCTTGGCATGAATGCGTCGATGGGTCCTTGAAGGTATGACATTGACTAATGCTTGGTAGTTTTGGGATCGGTCAAGTATGATACAAACAATGTTATCCACATACCTTTTTCTACCTTTGACACATATCTGTTAATTTTTTTATTTTTTTATTTTTTATGGTCAGATTGAATGACTTAAAGAGGATCAACGGATAGAATTTAATAGATAGTGTGTCGAAAGTAAAAAATGCATGTGAATAGCACCACTGTAAAGAATATAGCACATTTATTTGAACCTCAATAAAAATTTAGTCGGAAATTTCAAATTGAAAGAAGAAAAAATAATGTCCCGCACCAAATTTTAAGTTATGACTATCCTTTAATATCAAATTGACCATCTTCACTTTCGTACTTGGCCACTCATAATCTAACTTATATAAGAAATTCGCGAAGGAAAGAAATAATAACATTGTCACCTTGGAAAGAAAGATGCTGATAAACTTTCATTTTTGTTTTGGTGATTGTTGGTACTTTTTTTCATTGGCCACTCGCCATCTTCTCTTTTGTTTTAGTGATTGTTGGTACTTCTTTTCATTCATAAGCTTTCATTTTTTAACCTTAATGTCTTTTAGCTCCTTTTCTTATTTTCTGAAAAGGAAGAATCTCTTGCCCCCCCCCCTCCTCTTTCTTCTCCCCCTCCTCTTCTCTCTCTCTCTCTCTCTCTCACATTCAATGAATCAGATTCTGGGATGACCTCTCAACCAACAAAAAAAAAACAAAGAATTTAAATAAATAAAAAACAAGATCAGAGGATTGGATTTTAAAAAGGACCGAAGGGAATCTCTCTAGTTTCGGGCCAAAGGCTTATCTACTCTCTGGATCCAATACCTTCTTTCATTTTCCTATCATATCTTCTCATCCCACGTCCTTGTAATGCTCATATTTTATTTGTTATTATTTCTGTTTTTTGTTTATCTTTGGCTTCCCAATTATTGATGTATTTTCTTTACAACCAACGTTTTGAAAGCCAGATCATCATCATTTGAACAGATTTTTTTAATTTTCTTTTTTCCCCTTCTTTTTGGAATGCCATTTATATTAACTTGCATTTTTTTAGTTTTGCATTAGTTATTTAAATTAGATAAAATGTTCCACAAAAGTAGGTGTGTGCATAATCACATGGAAGAAACATACATTGTGGAGGTTTTGCATTAAGAACTGAGGAAGGAAACAGACAAGGATCTTCAATCCTGATTTGTTGCATTAAGAACTGGAATAACTTAAAATTTGAGGATCAAGGGTGTTCATATGTTAGATGTGAAATCCGCAACCAATATGATGGCAATTAGCACACTCCATTTTAATCAAATTTACTAGAGCAATGTGCTTCTTTTCTATACCGATGTTCGAAAATTTGTGTAGATTATAATATTATTTGAATTCGAAAACTTTGATGGCAATTAGGTCTGTGACCATTTGATTTAACATCATTATTATTTTTTAATTACATTAGAGTGAATCGAACTCTGGACCTATCTTCATGCTAATCTTGAATATATGTTTTCATTTTAGTAGATTCGGATCCAAGGATTAGTTTTCTTGTGAACCAAGGATTATAATTTTTTGCCTGTTAATAATTAGGGTTGCTTTAGTTTCTTGTTATTTAAACAAGTATGACAACAAATTAAACCCTAAAATTTATTTTGGCATCAGAGCAAGTTTCAGGCTCTCTTCCGCTAGACCCTAAATTTTTTTTTGGCGGTTGATGAGACGGAACCTGGTTACTCAATTGGTGCTTCATAAAGAAACAAGTTTTATCAAAAGAAAATCGTTGGAGTGTAGCTTTCTTTGTTGGATATAGCGAAGAACATAAACATAAAGGGCAGTGTTGACCAGTTTGATGAAAGTAGATTTTTCTCTTCTATTCTATTTCCAGGATTTTCGGATTCGGCTCAAACCGAGTGTTTTATGATGAGGTTGATGAATCTCAGTATTACGAGTTGCGATGCAAGGCAATGAGGACAAAGCAAAATGGGCGTCCGGTAATAGAAGAGTGCTTAAACACAGTTCGGCGTAAAGCACAGCGATAAACTACTATGCTTTGCAGCAAGAATGCTGACAGTAATCGTTCTATGCCCATGGTCAGTAAGTCTCCCTTTCTCTGTGGGATTCGGATGAAGCTGAAAAGGAAAAGCTCCTGTGCAACCATTGCAATGGAACTCGTCACTCGAAAGAAACATGTTTCAAAATCCATGGTTACCCTAATTGGCTCCTGGAAAGAAGAAAGCAGAACAAAGAAAACGCTCACAAACGTCCTGCACAGCGAAACTCGCAGAAAATGGGCCAAGAATTGCTGTCATAGTTGCTAGCCATGTTGTATCCGATGTTGACCCAACTCACCAAGTCGAAGATTCTATTCAAAGTCCATCTGTGGGTCAGGAACAAGAAGTGATTTGAGATGATTAACGTCACAGCTGTCAGTCCTCAACATGATCTCTTCCCTATCCCTCTTTTCTTCGACTTGCCATCATTACAAATCCAAAAAACCCAATTCAAAAAGCAAGTAATTAGAAGCCAAAATGGAGACGATGATCAAGTTAGAGAGAGAGAGAGAGAGAGAGAGAGAGAGAGGAACCCGAAAAAGTGATGCTAGGGTGGTTTAGGGGTTCTCTTTGCCGTTCGTCGAGTAGGGGTTGCAAGAGAGGTTTTCGAACAAGGAAAGAAAAAACGCTAACTGGGTCTTTGCAATAACCAATTTATATATGAGGATAATTTGGTCATTTTAAATTTTAAAAAAACCCTATTTCTGTCATATCGTTGTGCATGCCGTGTGCATGGACTGTGCATATCCCAAAAATTCTATTTTAGTCCTAAGATTAAGGAAATGGTCAATTTCTATCAATTTCCTAAAAAAAATCACAAGAATTGCGTATGTTACATTAATAGTGTTGGCGAGTCAATATTACATAATGCTATTCCATAGTACACTGTCTTGTATACAGTACAGTATGAAGCATGTAAACATCAGTTTGTATAAAATGTTTTTTGCTAGTAATCATCTTCTTCTTCGTCTCTTGATCCAGTGAATCTCCTTGCAACAGCAGCAACAGCACCAAGAAACACAAAGAAAGCAAAAAGTTGGAACCCGCCACCCATGCCAATGACAACACCAGGACCTGGGGCGAAAAATGAAAATGGAGACCAACCCCAGCCTCCGAAGAACGGTACTCCATAGCCATATCCATAGCCACCAACTAGAGGTGGTGCTACTGGAGGATTGATGTATATATTGGTCCTACAAATTATAGACACACAAATAAGTTAACATATCTTTAGATATAAACTTAAACGCATTACAAAAGGGAGCTACCAATCCAAAAATCATGCCAAAAAATGACTAGTTCCACAATGAACAATATATTTTTTGATGGCACAAGGAATGATTTGATCTCAGTGATCTAAAGTAAGATAATAAAACTCATATAACAATAAAATATCTAGGGTGGTGCCAACCACACACCTCTTTTTATCTTCCACACACCCATCTCAATTTCCGGTCATCGGTTAAATGAATTGAAGAAGACCAAATGATTGAAATTAACATTGGTGCATGAAGGTAAAATTGGGTGTGTAGATAGCACCACCCAATATCTAACAGCCAATAGTTCGTGACTTTTGGTATGAAAAGGATATTAGAACGAAATGGTAATAGTTCAAGCATGGAAGGCTGGTTAGCTAAATCAGTATTATCCGGGGCACTAATGAACTTTGTCAAGTTAGCTAGAACACGTACTCCGCTCTTTGCGTTCAAGTTCCATTACCACTTCTGGTAGTTTTGATTAATTTAGCTTGGATTATCGCTTATATAAAAAACACAAACAGTTTTTTTCTTTTTTCAACCCGAAAATGATGTCCCAACCCAATCCTCAAAGTGATCATCTCTTATCCATATGTCATAGGTTGCCATAAATTTTACAAGGGAACCGATTTCATTAAAAACTTAACCTGAAAAGTTTAATAGGAGGCCCTTCTAAGTTGCAACCCTGGATTCTTGTAGTAGCACTTAATTATTTCCTAATTGATCTCTCCACAACTTAAAGCCATTAGAATTTTAAATTCCGATACATGACTCTAAGAAAGTATAAAATCAGTAGCAGGAACTTACTAATAACTTTTTTAACCAAACGCAGCAATCCAATCCAAACACTGAAATAATCGAATTTAAACTTTTACAATTTTTAATTACCTTGAATTGTTATTGATCCTAGGGGACGAAGACCGAGGAGTCGAAGACCGAAACGCCTGGCCTCCAACTCTTCCACCAGATTTGGCAGCTGATGCATCATGAACTGAGCCCAATGTCAACACCCCAGCTGCCAGTGTCACCATTGCCAACTTTGCCAATTTGTTCTCATCCTTTCTGGGCGTTTCATCAATTCTTTTGCATGAGATGAAAGTGTTATTAATGAGAATCTTGGTTTTGGGTTTGTGGGGTGGGGTGAGAACGTTGGCTAGAAAGCTCTGTTGAGATGAGGATATGGAGGACGACATGCTTACTTGTTTGAAGTGCAGTTCTTCTGTTTTCGTTTAAAATGTTGTTTTTATGACTCTGAGGTTGCCACGTGGGATAATGTTAGAGGTTCATTACACCTGTGGTGTAGATCCACTCGCTTGTTAAGTTAAGACTTCGAGATGGGCTATACACAAACTTTAAATTGAGAATTTATTTCTAGTCATCGAATTAAAATGGATGGCTCCTACTAAAACGGAAAAAAATCATACGATCGGGTTAAAATAACCTAGTACTCGGTTGAGTTACATTGTATATGCAAATGAATATAGTGGGAAGATCGAATTTACGATTGCCATTTCATCCCCCGACAAATCGTTGAGGTAAGGCGACGACGTTGGGGTTAGAGGACAGTGATTTTCTCCGGTGAGTGTGATTTTGGTCATGTGGTGGTGTTGTATCTTTGAAACATTTAATGATATTTGAAATGCAAACCCTTTTAAAGCAGTACATTGACTTAATGCCAAATTTGTATTAAGCTTGGTTTGCATTTGGCTGGTCTAAGCTCGGAGAGTAATAGAAACTAGCAAAGTTATGCTGGCTCGTTAAGAAGCAAGCAAAGCTTAGGTGTTTCTATGTTTGGCTCGTCAGCATCTTCAAGAGTCCTTTCAAATTTTTGTTAATTTACCTAGCTGTAAACACGAAAATTCTGGTTCGAATGAAACGAGAACACGTGTACAAAGTAAATTTGTATTGATTTGAATTTGTAGGTTACAATCTCTGTTTACAACTTCTCTTCTAATTTAGTCTTCAAATTTGATGTAGATGCGTGATTGTTGATCCAAGGGTCGCGATGACTTGATCTCGGACGAACGGTTAAATGATTGCTTCAAGTTTTGAGCTTGAAAACAACGCGTGGATGATCATCACCTCAAGGGTGCGGCAAAGGTAGTGTTTGATGTGGGATTTCGTTGCTTGAAGGGTCTTGGCGACTTGATCTTGAAATGAACGTTGCTACAAGTTTATAAGCTTGCAACAAAGTCTTGAAGGAATCGGCACGAGCGCTTGTTGATTCTTCAAGGAAGTGCTTCGGCTTTGGTCGAGGGGAAGCTTCGGCTTTGGTTGAATGTTCTTCGAAGAGAGCTTTGATAGCGTATTAGTCTTCCAAGGTTTGGTAGAGGTTCTTCTGTGTAGAGAATTTTTTGACCCCTATGCTTATGGGAGGACCTTGTATTTATAGGTTTCTCAAAGCTTGCCTTTGGGTGGATTTGGCCTTGATTTATGTCCTAATTTGTCCATGGGAGAATTTAAGCATGTTTTGTGTCTTAATTTCAGCCACTTTACTCCCTTGGCCGAAATTATGAGGCCTTGTTGCCTATTTTGTGAGCAATCTTCAATTCTTGCTTGTTTTATGAAGATGCCTTAACTTTCTTTCCGGTTTTAGTACCAATCTAAACCCTTTTGCCAAATTTAAAGGGTGTTTCTCCCTTGTGCCGATTTTTGGGCAAGTTTTGTACTTCCTTTGCTTTGATTTGTGCCACATATCATTGGTGACTTGTCCATTTGTGATGAGTCATACGCCACGTGGAGCTTTGTGATACATAATTTGTATGCAATAAAATTTACATGTCTACAAATGCCCCCACTTCAAGGTGCGTTATAAGCATGTGCTTGTCACATGTAGGAAACGTGTTTTGAAGTCCTACAATGTGAATGTTCTAACTCAAGGGTCGTTGAGACTTGATCTTGAATCACTTTGCTTCTTTAAGGGTCGTAAAGGTGTATTTCTTGAACGAAACATTTCTTCAAGGGCCGTTGAGGCATATTTCTTGAACGAAACATTTCTTCAAGGGCTAAAACATTTCTTCAAGGGTTGTTGAGGCGTATTCCTTGAACGAAACATTTCTTCAAGGGCTGTAAAGGCTTGATCTTGAAAGAAATGAAATGTGTTTCTTCAAGGGCCATAGAAGCTTGGTCTTGAATGAAATGAAAGTTTTCTTCAAGGGCCGTAGAGGTTTGATCTTAAAACAAATTTTGAAAATGAATGAATCAGCACATACTTATTGCGAGTATTTGATTTCCCATAATCTTTGACAAAATACATTTGGTGCATTTTGAATTTTTTCGTGTGGTTGTAGGGAAAATGTTTTCCTTCCTTCGATAGGAATCCCCTTCAATTTTGGTAATGAAGGTGACTTCCTTCAAGTGTTAGAAAGCTTTTGATGATTTCCTTCAAGGTTTTGGAAAGTTTTAACGCTTGCCCTTGAGTGAGTAGGATGTGCATTTTCCTTTCCCTTTTTCTTTCCCATGGCAAAGAGGTTATTTTTCTTTCCTCTTTTGTTTTCCACGGCAAGGAAGGAGTCTTTTTCTTCCTTATTTTGATTTTCCATGGCAAGGAAGGAGCCTTTCTTCCTTGTTTTGATTTTCTACAAGGGGGAAGTATTTTTCTTACCCTTTTTGATTCCCCACAACAAACAGATAATTCTCCTTTCCTTTTTTTTTGTTTTGGGAAACACGTCATCTGACTTGCACGCCCAATTGAGGTCGATTTCTTTCTTGGAAAATTCTGACCAAATATGGAAACGTAGCTTTATCCCTTATCTTTTCAGGCATATATCGCACATAACTAGGAAAAATCAGGAAAGCCTTCAACTTTGCATTTTCCTATAGCTGTGTAATTCCTGATGGGAAAGCAATTTCAGCGGGAATGACTTTGAAACTTGGAATGTTTGGCTTTAGGGAAAATTATGAAATTTGGATACAATGATCCTTAGCCACTTATCTCCCTTCTCCAATTGGCCTTGCATCAAAACCCTTCCGGAAAGTTAAGTTGGCACCAAAAACGTCCTACCTGCACAGATTGGCTAAAACTTGTCATATTCTTGCTTGGAGTTTGCTTCCTTCTTTTGGTGGGAATGTGCTTTCTTGTTTTGAACTTCCATTTTCTATTTGGGTATGTATTTGCCTTATAGCATTAGGAAGCAATTGACCCTTATATAGGACAATTGGGCGTATATTTTTTCCACAACACAACTCCTCTTGCCGTGCACTTCATAGCTGCTTGGAATCGTGGGTTTTCTTTGCTCCTGTGCTTGCCATGCTTGTTGTTGCTTCTTGGAGCTTGTTGTCGTGCGTCACTTTTACCGTGTGGGGTAGTGTAAGGACTGCAACACTTTTAAGATGTGTAGTGGCTTTTGGTCATAACTTTCCTCGGTGGTGACGTAGTCGTGCCTCTTGCCGCTGCTGCCACTGCCATGCCTTGCAATTGCTGCTTGGAGCTTGTTACAGTGCGTCACTTTTACCTTGCGGGGTTGTGCAAAAGATTAGAGCGTTTTAACTCTGTGTAGTGTCTTTTGGTCACAACTTTCCTTGGTGGTGACGTTGGCTTGCCCCTTGCCGCTGCTCACTTTGTTGTGCTCGATCAAACTTTGTGGCTGATTTCTTTCACTGCTGCGACTTCATCAACATCATCCTCTAACACTCACGAGGTTAGTCTCGCACGTCTTTTGTTTGGCGAAGCAAAAAGAAATCTTTTTTCTTTTCTTTTCTTGTCGTGTCGTACTCTTGCTTATGTTGCCTTGTTTGTTTTGTTGCAGCCATGGTATTTTTCAAGTGTTTCAAGAACAATACCATCACCATTCTCATGAAGGAAGGTGATTCGTGAGATAAGGGAACAACATTGAAGCTTTGTGCGCCGTTGATTAGACCAAGGGCACTTGTTCTTCCTATAAAAGATAACTCAATTCACATCAAGTCATGGTCTTCTGAAGAGTCTTGGGAGGTGATGGACTTTGGTCAATCAACTACGAAGAATAAGGCATGTACGTCAAAGGTTCTAGTTTTGAACCCTTCGCATCATGTTCATGATAATTCATCGACTTCGTTTGAGCTTCTTGGTGATGGCATCCGCAGCAGATCTGTGACTTGAAGTAGTGCCTTGTCGACTACTGGGGAAGTTGCCTATGTTGAGTTTTACTAAGAGTGGCTTGAAGATGTCTTGAGCCGATCCAAAGATGTGCTTACCAAAGTAGGCCTTTATCACGTTGTGTACGCATCTTTGTTTAGCTACGATCGCCATCCTTTTGTCGTTCGTGCGTTCTTCGAGCACTGGTGTTCAATAACCAACACCCTTCACATAGCTCAATGGGAGATGTTGATTTCACTTTGGGACCTTCACAAGATAGGAGGCTTGCCGATCCAGGGGAAATTTTATGATGAGGTTACCTGCGATTTACCATTATTTTTTTTGGGTGTATCACAAGCTTTCCCAGGAGGCTCAAGGTAAATCAAGCATAAAGATTTCTTCATGGGTTCGATTTTAGTACTGGGATGCCATGAAGTACAAGAGGCCTTCGAAGAAAAGTGGCCGTAACAAACAACCAAGCCGAAGAGAGACTCAGATCCTGTCAGGTGTAATTGGTCCACCTGCGCGCCGTATTCCTGCTGAGTTGAGAGCATTTGAGGATCTTGGCATAGCACCAAAGCACTTGGAAGAATCTTACCTAGCCGCTCTCTTAGCTAGTTAGCTTTGTAAGTTTGTTTTCCCCAAAGACGACGTCAACCTTATCCGTCTCGGAGTTTTCAAAGTTGCTAGCAAAATGGCTACAGGTGAATCCTTTAGTCTTATTATTCTAGTCTTAGCCAATATTTACAACAGCTTGAGCATTATTTCAAACTCGGCGAGCACTGAAGATCGTGTTGCAGTACTTCCCTACCACGATGTGTAGGTTGGTTGGGTGAGTACTTCGGCACTCATTTTTCTTCGTCAATTTTAGACAAGCCAGGGCTTTCTTCACCAACTCCAGTCAAGCCAGGGCCTTTGATGACGAGGTATTCTAGCATGCTTGCTGCAAAGAGTCTTAATGATTCACAGGCGCAAGTGCTTTTTAGAAGTTGTAACGGCTTGAAGATGGACCACATCTTCGTTCAAACGCGGCGATGTCTTGTAGATGACTTATACCTTCGTTCCTCTGACTTAAGGACAGCAAGTGGTACCAATTCTTCTTATTCACATAATGATAAGCCAAGAGAGGGTTATTCTACGGTTCCTGTGCAACTGGC